GTTTCACTCTGTTACCCAGGCTGGTCTCAAATTCCTGGGCTAAAGTGATCCGTCTGGCTTGGCTTCCCAAAGGGCTGGGATTGGAGGTGTGAGTCACACACCCAGCCAAGAAACTTTTTCTGTAAAAGTCTAAATAGAACATCTTTTAGATATGCTAGACAATAGGGTCTGGTTTACACATGCTTGTTTTTATTTTGTTTTTCTTACAATCCTTTAAAAATGTAAAAAAACTTCTCAGCTTAAGTGCTGTACAAAACAGGTAGAAAGACCCCTGCATTAGAGAACTCTTACATATGTACATAAGGACCTTTATGGCAGCAGTAATGTGAGAGCAAGAAATTGGAAATAGCTTGAATGTCCATCAAGAGGACAGGGGAGGCCAGGCACAGTGGCTCATGCCTGTAATCCCAGCACTTTGGGAGGCCAAGGAGTGTGGATCACTTGAGGTCAGGAGTTCGAGACCAGCCTGGCTTGAACATGGTGAGGCCCTGTTTCTACTAAAAAATTAAAAATTGGCCAGGCGCAGTGGCTCATGCCTGTAATCCCAGCAGTTTGGGAAGCTGAGGTGGGCAGGTCACTTGAGGTCAGGAGTTTGAGACCAGCCTGACCAATATGGGGAAACCCCATCTCTACTAAAAACATAAAAAAATTAGCCAGGAATGTTGGTGGGTGCCTGTAATCTCACCTACTCAGGAGGCTGAGGCAGGAGAATCGCTTGAACCCGGGGGACAGAAGTTGCAGTGAGCTGAGATCGTGTCACTTCACTCCAGCCTGGGCAAAAGAGCAAAACTCCATCTCAAAAACAAAAAACCAGGCGTGGTGGCACACGCCTGTAATCTCAGCTACAAAGGGGGCTGAGGTGAGAGGATCACTTGAACCCAGGAGGCGGAGGTTGCAGTGAGTCTAGATTGGGACATTGCACTCCAGCCTGGGTGACAGAGCAAGACTCTGTCTCAAAAAAAAAAAAATAAAAATAAATAAAAGAAGATAGGGATAGTGAAACCGTTGGACATCCCTTATCTGAAGCACCGAGTGAGCAGCAACTATAGAGAAGGAAGCGTGGACTGGGTGAGGTGGGTTGAGCCTGTAATCCCAGTGCTTTGGTTTTTTGAGAAGCCAAGGCAGGAGGATCACTTGAGGTCAGGAGTTTG